TTGGCAGTTTAGTGGCCACGAGTCTTTTGTGTGTGTGTGTGTGTGTGTGTGTGTGTGTGTGTGTGTGTGTGTGTGTGAGAAACCATAATTGCCTTAAATTCAGGAAGATATTTAAAGCTGTTTCATCTTGAGAAATTTGCAGGGCTATTTTGAATATTCACAGAAACAAGTGAGAAGTATAAATGAGAAGGTTGCTTATACTTTATGTATTGGTATTCCTGTATTAAAAAGGATATTTTTCCAGAAAAAATATGTTTAAAAGTATGCCTTTTAAGTTCTTATCATTTGCAGTTCTGTTTTTTTTTATACTGTGGATACTAACAGTTCAGATTAAAAGCCTCTTTTGAACTGAAAAGTTTTCCAACAAAATAACACATTTGAAATGGCAAACATAATATAGTTCTGACTATGTTATCATAGGACTGACGCTAAATTTTTAAATTTATTATTAGAATTTGTGACCATGGATTAGTCACTGTACCATTTTGTTTTGTTTTGTTGTTATTTTTGTGTTGAGAGAGGGTCTCCCTATGTAGTTCAGGTTGGCTTTGAACTCTCTGTAGCCCAGGCTGGCCTTGAACTTGTGGTGATCCTCCCAGCTCAGCCTCCCTGAATGCTGGCTGGGATTATAGGTGTGAGCCACCACATAATGGCTATACTGTTTTGAGTTTTGATTTCTACTGTAGGTTTGAAGTAGGTGAGATCACTTTTTAAAGCTCTTCCAGATTTGGAATTTATAATCTGTGATCTTCAGTCTTGTACATTATCAGCACCCACCCCAGAGACTATTACCCCTTACAGGATTGAAACTGTTGATGGATTGCTCGCCTTTCAGGCTTCACCACACCCGTGCTGAAAGGAAGGAAGCTTGTGAAAGGGACAGGACCTCAGACTTCACTCACTCATCAGACCCTTGCATTTTCCATAGCAGTCTCTTTGGTAACTTGAAGTATTTGCACGTTGTTCATTCAATGATTTTAAATGAAGAACCATGTGGAAAGATTAACAGAAGCATATTTTAACTTAAATTAAAATTGGCAAAATAATTCAGTATTTTAAAAGCTTTACTGGTATCCTTGATTTGTAATCTGATGTAAATGCTATTGAAACTCTTGAGTGGCCTCAGTTTGTGAATATGTATTCTAAAAATTTCAGTTCTAAATGGTCATTTTTGGAGCATTTTTCATAGGAACAGTATTAAAATGTGATTATGTTTGATGTAGGCCAGCCACCTGTTTAGACCATAATGTTACTGAAGTAGTGCACTTATCGTGATAAATAAGAACTGATAGTATTATAAAATTAGTTTCAGAGGAGAGACTGTTAAACACGGGTGTTTTTGGTTTTTTTTTTTAAATAAATGCAAGTATTTACAAAAGGTAAAAAGTATTTGACCAGGTTTATTGTGGCATAGAGGTAAATTGTTAGCAGGAGTTCTGAAAGTGACTCTAGCCAGTTAATCTGATTCTTTGACCTCTGTCAGCCTTTATATCTATGCTGATATGTGTGTGTTCAAAAGAGTAAAACACAAAAATGATTCCATTGAGCCAACTCTCCCTGTTAGTATTTCATCTCCTTTTTACTGAGATTCTTGAAAATTTAGACTCCACTCTAACCAACTCACTGTCATCTGCAGGGAGCTTTCACTCTCCATATTCTAAGTATACTGTTCTTCGAAGGTTATGTCTTAACCTTATAAAATAACAAGTTTTAAACATTTTCTACACCCATAGCATTTAAGCTCTGGCCACTTTTTTCTAACTTTTTTTTTTTGGCAGTGCTGGGAATCAAACCCAGGGCCTCATAATGCTAGTCAAGTGCTCTATACCTCAGCCCTAAAACTCCATTTTGGGGGGGGGGTTCGGGGGTTTTTTTTGGCACCGGGGATTGAACTTGGGACCTTGCACTTTAAAGGCAGGCGGTGGAACCACTGAACTGAATCCCCGGCCCAACTCCATATTTTTGTAATAATGATTTTTCTCATTCAGTTCTTCCATAGCAATGTATAACCTAACTTGTGTGCTACTCAAAATTGTTCATTTTCCTTTTTTCCTTCCATGTTATTAGCTGTATACGGTCTGATACAGTATTCTCTTGTTCACTGTTTTATATGATCATGCCTATAATAATCAGATATTTATTAAATAAGTGATTTTTTTTTTTAACCAAATGAGATAGCCCCTCTGGTTCTGTTATTTTGTTTGACTCTTAATTGCTTTTTCATTGATACCATGGCTTCCATTTTCTATACTCTGTTCACTCTGTTCTTTTCATTTTAACTACTATCATTGCATTTTAGCCTCCCTTTCTTATTCCAACTTTATTATGAAATTATTCCCAATTTGCTTTTACATTTTACCATGTGGTATATTAAGTAATTGCATAGGGATAGCAAGACTACTATTGGAGGCTGATCAGACCTACAATCACCTGACCAGGGCAACAGGATAACAAAAAGACAAGATCCTTACTGCATAAATGGGAGGCCCAGGACAGTCAAAGCTCTTATCAGGCTAAGACACTGTCTTCTGAAGCTTGCCACTATTTATTGAACACACAGCTTCTTGATGACGGGGAAGGGGTAGTTCAGGGAACAGTGGAGCAGAGAGCACTAATGCAAGGGGGCTCCTAGCAACAAGGGAACAAGACATTCTAGTAGGAGCAGATCATTGATTAATGGGAAATTTGTTTTTTCCCATAGATTAATTTCTGCCTCTATAGAAGTTTAAGGTGGGAGTCATGCTGCCCTTAGCTGCCCTATTGTCTTGCCATCCAAGACTTCACAGTGTCATGGATCATTGAGACCTCTGCTGTAGCCAGTGGTGTGGGGAGTTGTTCCTTTCCCACACACCAACTGCTGGGTCTTCAGGCAACCATTATGGGCCAGTAGGCAGACTTAGACTTTTGCTATGAAAAGCCAGTTTTTTAATTTGTAGCTTGCTCAGGCTGGTCTCCATCAGAGTACACCTGGCATTTACCTATGTACTCTTGCTTAGTATTTTAGTCTGTTTCTTTTTTTTTTTTCCTTACATTGATAAGTTCTGTCATAAGTTTTCCTTGCTTTCACCTTCTGTTCCTTCTTTTTCCACTTCATGCCAAGGCAAACCATTCTACTTAAATCAAAGTAGGATCAGATAGTAGAATAAAATTTAGGAATTAGCTTTTTATTGTTTTGTAAAATTAGCAAGTTTTCAGCTCAGAAACAGGAAAAAATTTTCCATATTTAGAACTATCAGAGATGAGACTTAACAGTGCCAATAGATGTTGAGTCCCTTTCACTGATAGGAATGTGGTAGAAACTAAACAGCCTTCACATTTGACAGGTTTTTGAAGCAGCACTCCATGCCTTTCATTATGTCTTCCAGACTGTTTTAGGTCTTTGATACATTTTTAATGTCTGTTACAGTTTAGGTCTAAAATGTCCCCCCAAAGTCTCAGTGTTCAAAGGCAGTACTTTTGAAAGGAAATTAGATCATACAGACACTACACTCATCAGTGGATTAATCATTGATGACTTCATAGCTAAATGTACTCTAAAGAGATGGGGCTTAGTTGGAAGAGGTAGGTCACTGGAGATCAGACTTGGAAGAGTGTATTCTTGTCCCTGACCCCTTCCTGCCTCTCTGCCTCCTGGTTACCATGGTTGAACAACTTTCCTCTGGCAGGCATTTCCACTGTGCCATTTCTACCTTAGAGCTAGCTAACCATGGACTAAACCCTCTAAAACCTTGAGCCAAATGAACTTCTTTAAGTTGCAAGTGTCAAGTATTATCCCAGCAACAAAAAAGCTGACTAATACAATGTCTAAGAACTGCCATGCAGCTAGTAAGTGCTAAAAATACATTTGTTCAGTGAATGAGTAACTTTGGAACATGAGTCCATGGAGGAGTGAGGTGGTTCCTTATTTTCTCATCAGACTTTGTTTTGTGATGTGAGAGTATTAGTTCTTGGTTCCGAAAGTCCAGGGATCAAGTCTTTGGTTTCTAGATGTTTGGCCTTGGACAAGTTATCATCTCTGAATTTAATTTTACATCTGTAATATGGCAGTTACTGTAAAGTAGGTTATGCTGAGGACTCAATGCATATGGAAAAATGTTATATTATGCTCAAATGCTTCACGAGTAATAGAAATTATTTGATATTAATGGCTTGTCTTTAATATAGTTCTGTAACTACAGTTTTTCTTTCACCTTATGATTTGGATTGTTTTTTAGTTTAGCAAAGGAAATAGGTGCTTTCTCCTAACACATTTTCCTACCTACTCAAGGCTCAATTTCTTATATATTTGAATTCTTAATTTTAATTCCAACTCCCAGCATGTCTGGGTTTCTCTATAGTTTTTTTTCACATTTTAGAGCTTTGCAGACTTCTAAATACCAAAAAGTACCACTGCAAAATTAACATGTATTTTCGTAAGTAAAGCATATTTGGTTTAATTTTCGCAATTTTAAGATTTTCTTTGGTGCTTTGATGCCTGTTTTGTTTTTTGTTGATACTTTCAGATGACAAAGTTAATACACAAGTAGCAAAAATAAATTTTAATAAACATATAGATACCTTGATTCTTTGTTCATTTTTTAATTCTTTAATTTGGCTCTCTAAACATGCCTATACATTGTATATTTCATTATTGTAATTTTATATTACATACAAATGCTATAATTGTGCATTTTTTTGGTATCTTTTTTGCCCAGATTGTGTATGATGTTATTAGATATGTCATTTTTCTATTCCATAGTTCACTGCTTTCAAGTGAAATGGTTTCTTGATTTAATACTTTGTGAACTAGTACTTAACTAGGAAGATTAGCCATAAAAAAGATAATTTGGGAATCTGCAAAGGAAAAGAGATATTTCCCTGACCAAGGTTACTTTCACAAGTAAAATACCATAATTAATCAGCTTTTCATAAGAGAGGAACTCTGCACTTTGGAAAGGAAAATTATTTGTGTTTGTCATTTCCCATTACTGTAAAATCCTTTTTCTTTTCCCTTTTACTAGATAAGTGTGTATTTTGTGCCCATTCTTCTATCATACAAAAAAAGAAATATTGCAGTGAATGAAGATTGCTCTGCATTTTAGCACTGCTTTTTCTACTGTAGTTGGCTTTTGAATGAGGATGACAATGGAAGAGATGAAGAATGAAGCTGAGACCACTTCCATGGTTTCTATGCCTCTCTATGCAGTCATGTATCCTGTGTTTAATGAGGTAAGTGGGTAAACATTTTCTTACAGGCTCTGCAGTTCCTTAATGTGTGCTATATTTGTTTATTTCATATAAAAAATAGTTGTACAGGTGAATTCCACTTATGTGTTAGGCATTGTTTTAGCACATAAAATAGTGAAATCAAAACCAGTTAGATATGTCACTACCCTCTGGAAGTGAGAGAGAGAGATACTGCAGAAAAGAATTCTGTAAGAATTATAAAACAATCACATAAATAAAAATTATGGTAAGTGCTATGAAGTAAAAAGAAATGCATTAACAAAGAAATTGGCAGGTGGGAACTCTTCTAGGGGTCAAGCCTCACTAGAAAGTTAGAAATAAGCCAGAATATGAAAGAGGTAAGTAAAAGTTAAAGAGTTCAAGGTGAGTATGATCTATGAGTTGTAATTGAAAAATATAGGAAATGTTTAAATTTTTTTAAAGGACACATTGTCATTAATCCCCTCAACACTCTCCCTTATTTCAAACACACTTATCCCATCGTTTTTGCATCTTTCTGAATCAGTTCTGGTAGTTCTCTATCACAAGTGTCTTTTGTCAGATTGTCATGACTGCCTTGATGTGCTGAAACTTTTACCTTTCTTATCTTTCTTACCTTTCTGGTCATTTTAACTTTTGGGAAGAGCCAGAAGTTTTATGGTGCCAGAGGCAGTGGATAAAGTGGATGAGGACACAATATAGTGTTTTATAAGCCTGCCTTTGTATTGGGTCACACCTGGCAGCAGCATCCACCATATTTTTTATCATACTTGATAATGATGTGAAGACAGCTTCCAGAACTGCTTCAGTAAGTGGCAAGAATGATGGGAAAAGTGTCTCTTTTTCTTTTTCTTTTTTTGAAAAGTATCCTTCAAGCAAAGGGTAGTATTTTGAGGGAAATTCATAGCCGTTGGGTCTTACCATGATAAATTTTTCAAACTTTAAACATTGATCATATATTTTGTTCACTTCTTCTAGGTATCTAGTATAGCAGGCACAAAGATCCTTTAGTAATTGCTGTTGGTGGTCACAGAGCACTTTTTTAAAACTGGCATTTGGAAATAACATTGTATTGTATCTGGAGAAGATATGATTATATTTATACTGGAGGAATTATATTGGACTTAATACATTTTCGGTTTTTCTTTTACATTATTATTAATCTACTGATGTATGTAGAGAATCCTAAAGCTGGAAGTCCCTTAAAGATTATTCATTAATTCCCTCTTTCTAATGTGAACTAAAGCCCTGAAGTGTGAAATTGTTTTCTTCAATTTACCCAGTACTAAATTCAAATCTTGGTATTCCAGAGTCAGTGTTCACTGGCTTCAACATTTAAAAAATTTAATAATTACTTTTTTGCTACTTTAAATACCTTTCAAAACTACTAACCTTATTGTTGACACTGTAGTTGGAAGACCTTGCCATTTCCAATGTTTTTTCATTCCTTTTTGTAAAATATTTTTCTTAGAATAAGATTCTAAGTTTCATATCCATTTTTCCTCACATTATTGCATTGATCTCAGTTTATGTATTGTATCATCTTGTTTTAGGAGCAGTAGATAGTGATCCATTTATCCTTTTTAACAAGAAAACTATGGATTTAGTTGTCAGATAAGACATTTGGAATTTTGAATACCATCAAATACTATCTATCTAAAATAATCTCAGTTCAGAATGGTGGTTTGGGTAGAAGTTTTTTTGTCTGTTTGTTACATAAAAGATTCTGGGGGCAAGTGGCCCAACACTAATAGCATCAGAAACTCAAGTTCTTATCATGTGCTCCACCATCTGCTACCAAAATGTCACTGTGCTGGATAGCTACTGAAGGTCCATCCTTATCTCCTGTGTGAACTCCTTTCCAGCTGAGCCCACTTCCTTAAAGCAGCCATTTTGAAAGACCTACAGAAGACTTCACTTACATCTCACTTTCAAGAACTTAGTCCCATGACCAATCTTTACTGCAGAAAGAGATTGGGAAATTTAGTTTTATAACTAAGCAGGAAGCATCTTTTGAAAAACCTATCTCTTACTATAATATTACCATGGTAGCATTAGAGGTACTCTTAGGGTTAGTTATTTTATCTGTTGGAGCTGTCAACCAATAATTAATTCCACTATTTTTTGTTGTTGTTGTTGTTGTGATATTTTACTTAGTTATTGCAGGTAGCTATTATTAGAAGCAAGGGCATCATTTCTGTTCAGTAAATACCAAATGTCAACCATATGTTTGCTAAGTACTCTGCTAGGTTCTATAGATCTGAAGTAAAAGATAATGTACCATTCTCAAGCATCTGTTAGGAAATACAAATATTTAAATAATTAAATATTTGTATTTAATTAATTATTAAATAATTAATAACTAATAGTTAATTATCCTTGTACTTGGAATAAGGTAAGGAAATAGACACTGAAAGCTAGTAAGTAATCTATGTTGCTAACAATTACAATTTGAATCGCTTGACTACTCCAAGAGTAGTCAAAACCTAGAGTTATTCCACCTTTTCCTATCTGATGTCTAATTTGATAGACTGTTGGGCAGAGTTATTTGGGAAAATTTTTGGTTTTTTGGCATTTCAAGTCTTCATTCAAGGGGAGGAAAATTTACAGTTTCAGTTTGATCCTCTAGTTAATGAAGAATAATGAGAAAACCTTTGTTCTAACAATTTGGTCTTTTTTCCTACATATGAAAAATGGCTATTTGAATCTTGACATTGCAAAAGATTTATGTAGAATGTGGATTTCTGGTAAAATGAACTATTGGGACTCATACTGATAAAAATTGTTTTATGTCTTATGTGTAAGAAATTAACATGAAAGAAAAAGATGTGACTAGGAATGAACTACTACATCTCTTCCGTAAGTAAAGGTAGTAATTTTTCTCCAGATGAGATCTGAAAACCCCTATGGGTTAATGGAACCGGAATTAGAATACATTGCCCAATGACTTAGTTGCTCCAAGAATTAATTATTAGAAATAAAGTTTGAAAATGAAGACTGAATGTAGCAGACTTGAGAGATACTACAGAAAGTTTCCCTGGTCTAATTCTCAAATTGAATTTGCTAATCTGACATCATAGTATGAAGCCTTTAAAAAATTATTTCTGTCATGCATTCAAAAGCATGTTCAAACTGCACAGTTTTAGAAATAGTGATGGTTGTGAATAGGTTTTCACTTGACAGATAAAATTTAGGGCTTGATTTAGGAATGAAATGAAATTATTGTGCTTTCAGATGTGCAGTATTTGATTAAAAAGTATTTTATTCAATACTAGCATTATTCTCTGGTAGTCTAATGTGTTAAGGAACATCTAAATAAGATACTTAATAAATTAAGCATTAATATCAACTCGTACTTCAGCCACAAATTTCTCTAAAAGTCTGCTAAATAGGAATTTGTAGTTTGGGATGATTGCTTTTCTGTGCTTTGTTGATTTAAAGATGAAAGTGGTTCACATTAACCTATCACAAAATAGCAAGGATGAGTATTTTACTCTAAGTCTAAATGATTCACTAACTTTTATCTGAATTGTACAAGTTAAAAAACTTACTCATTTCCACCTTAACATTTGATCCGTAAGCACTACAGTGGTAGTCTAGAAAATCCTGTTAACATAGACTTTTGTCTACTGAAATATCCTTATGCCTGGGGAAATTTTAGTAGTTACTTCAGCTTACAAGGCAAAGTTATTTATGGCATTCTGGGAGCTTGATGCTTGTAAGACTTGAAAAAGCTACTCCAAGACAGCTGAGAAGGAGTACATTTCTTGTTTAATCAGCTGCTGGGGAGTTCAGAGTCCAAATATCATAATGGAATAGTTGGTTTCTAGAAACCGCATGCCAAGTCTTAGATCAGTTCTCATGGAAGTATAATTTCTTACTGATTTTTTGTATATACAGCAGGAGGGAGACACAGTAAACTTCTGTATTCCAGGAAAAAATAGCCGTGTGTCTTCTTTTCCAGTGACCTATTAAAGGATTTGTTTTAAGATGAGGTATAATTTCTAAATTTATATCACATTTTAAGAAACAAACAGCTTTATAACTAAAAATCAATTTTAGATCACCAAGGGCATATACATTTTTTTATTAGGCAATCACACAAAAGCGTATTCCTAAATAAATAGTATTCCATTCAGAGGCTCTGAGTCAGCTATTTCTGCCAATTCTTGGCATATGTATAAAACTCTTTAACTTTTTTCTAGTAAGCAAATGAAACCTAGGACTACTTCAACTTTACTTACCTGCCTCATTACCCCCCCCTTTAGAAAAAAAATTCGAACTTCAGACTTTTAGCATATAAATAACTTTTGCACAGTGGAAGTGTTCCATTTTACCTGCACTCTACAACCCAGAGATGGTCATAGTTAACATTTTGGGTTTGAATTACCACACACTGGTTATATAATCTTAACTCAGTTTCCTTATCTGTACAATCAGCATAAATGACAGTACACTTCATTTTTTCAGGAACCTTATGAAATAAATGAGTTATTGAATTGCAAAGTATTTAGAATTGTAACAGACATACAGTATTACTTATTAAGGAGTCTTTTCAACATATAGTATACTTTCTGACAAAATTGTGGTCATACTGTTGATTTTTGTATACTTGCTAGTAATATTTTAGTTATGTATTTTTAAACTAGTTTGGTGGCTCCACATACCTTTTGTGCCAGACATTTTGACAGCCTCAGAAACTGATTCTTTTCAAAGCATCAAGAGAACTTATAATGTACAGAACACAGCTGGTTGCATTTGCTTGCTTTGTGGCAGCTTGAAAGCTAACAGGTGACTGGTTGGTTCCATCTACTTCTCTTCTTCTGACATGCTTATTTTTCCATCTGACTCACCTCATTCTCATTTGAATCAGGAGAAATACACCTGGAGTTTTTAATTCTCATTTTCTTTCTTTTAAAAAATAGGATCAAGGGGCCGGGGATGTAGCTCTGTGGTTCCACTGCCTGCCTTGCAAGCACAAGGTCCCAAGTTCGATCCCTGGTACCAAAAAAAAAAGTAGGATCAATAATTCAAAGGAGGCTATAGGGTAAGATCAACATAAGAATATTAAACCTTGCCTGATTTTTAGGAACCAAGTAGATTTGTAGGCATTATGGAACCAATTAACCTAATTATTTTGGCCTTTCAAATTAGCTTTCATGAGATTTTATGTAAGACTCTTTAAAACTTGAGCAACCAAAGGGCTAATTTTTTTTTTTTTAATTATGGGTTTAGGAATCTAGCTTGTTGTCAGAAAAATGTAGGAGTGAACTGATAGATAATTCTAGAGGGAACAATGTAATAAATGAGCTCTCCACCGAAATAAAGTTACATGTAAGCTTTTACAATATTTTTTAAAATGAACTAGGATGTAAATTTGACAGATTTGCAGTTGATAGTAAATGTTCTGAAAAGTTAGCAAGCATATGTTGCAGAAAGAGCTCATAAGATTGAAAGTAGGCAGAATGTGCGGTTAAAGTGAGTCCTAACATTGAGCTATCAGCATGTCCATTCTACCCCAATGAGCTTCAGCAGTTTTCCTTCTCTTGGATGAGATGTTGTATACTTTTGTCTCTCATTCTGATTTCCTTATTTTCCCATACTCTGTTACTGGTGACATGAAGTCCTGTATGGCTGAATTCCAAATAGTGCTTTTTGCTTTTCTGGTATCCATTATTGCAAGATTCAGTTGAAATGTTCCTCCTGCACTAGACCCAAAATACAGTGTATGTGCTATCTACTAACCAAGTAGTTTTATATTCTTCAAACAGGCTGGGGATTCTTTCAAGATACTCTAGTCGGATTGTTAACCCTACCCCTCAAAGAGTGTTGGATTCATTAAAAGTATTAGAAATGGAAATTTTTGAAATTTTTTTCTTTTCTGAATTTTTTGAAATCATACCTTTATGAGTTATAAGCCCTGAAGAAACCTGGAAAGAGAACTTCTAAAGAAGATGATTTTAAAAGGCTAAGCCACTTTAAAAATCAGCTCAAATATCATCTTTGTAAAGACTTGCCTTTCAACTTCAGTTGACAGTGATCCCACTACTTTTCTTGAAGGCACTTACTTAAATTGATTACCTTTTAGAGGTAAAGATCTGTAGTCTGTTTCTTTATATCGCTTCTCATTGATTTCTTGCACGTGGTAGAAACTGAAGTGTGATGGTTTTTATAGAGCTAACCATTAAACAGATTCAATGATAGGTAAACTCTAATCTGAGAAGAATGAATACAGGCCATCAGGGTAGCATTAGTGGTTTGTGTGTGGACAGATCTGATATGAATACTGTTTCTGAACTTAATAATTATTTAACATTGGGTTAATTTATGTGAATGAATTCCTCTGCAAAATGAATATGATAACTTAGACTTATTGTGAGAATTTGAGATATTCTGTATAAAAAGTTACTAAGTCTGGAATACATGCTTAATAAATGATAATCTATTAGAATATCAGAACCCTGCTACTGTCAAGAGAGGCACTGTTAACACAAGCATGATTTTGTCAAATAATGTAGCACAAGAGACAGGCCTAAAAGAGATAACACTTTTTAATGTGGTAGCAGTGTGTCACTGCCTAAGTAGTACAGACTTTAGTTATACATTAAAGGATAGTTTAGATAAATGTATGGATGAGAGATTGACTTCATGTCAGACATAGGTATGTACCTGTGTTCTAGTACACCCCAGAAAATGTGGCTACATATGAGCCTATTAAGTTTATTGTAGAATGTGTTGGCATATAGTATACCCCAAAATGACTCTCATCGGAGTTCAAGTGCTTCACAGCTCAGACTTTTGATATGGTAAAATATATCTGACTATCCTGCAACTTTCTCTTTTTTGTAAGAGATACATGTAAACTTAATCTGGAAATCTAGACATGTTGATGTCTAGTTTAGTTAATTTTATTAGCTCTTCACTAGTGTTTCTTAACCTGTTTTTCTTGCCTTGGTCCTTTCATGTATCAGTTTGAGCATTACAGAATGAGTTAATAATGCTGATATTTGAAAGCATCCATCTGAGTCTGACCTTTGACTTGTTGTCAGAGGTCACTGTGGTTATAACCCAAATAAGGAAGTAGAGACTTACTTGCTCGTGTCTCCTTTGTACAAAAACTTAAGATCTGACGTGCTGTATTGTTAATTTTAATCTTAAGTGGTAATATAATTACATGACTTGTGGAAGTAGAAAACTATTTTCATTTTTAGAAACATACCTTTGTTAAATTTATAAACTACTTCTAGTTCATTATTCTCCCACATGTGCTTATTGGACCCCTTCTGGTTTCTTTTACCTGCTGAGCCACTATTAGATTTTTACAAGTTTTATAGAACCCAAGTTAAATATTACGCTAAATGGTTTATTGCTTTTTAGTAGCCAAATTATTTATTTTAGCTAATTTTGTTGTTTCTTCTTTCTGCATAAGGTAAATAATCTGTAGGAAGATAGGGTATTTGGCATTTCTCACTATCTTGTTTAGAAATTAATTTGATTTACAGTATTGGATTGTCCTCTAGGTATGTATATGTCATTTATAAAGCAAATTTTATACTTTTATTGCCTTACGTGATTGAAAGGACTATTTCATAATACGACATATTCATAAAGCTTTTATAGACATCCTTGCTTACATACAAATGTATAAGGTTATATTATTTTCCAACATTAAATATTGTCCCAAGTAAAAAAATATATACAGTTTTTAATAAAGTTACTAGTTCAGTCATTAGGAATTCGTGACATCTGAATTTTACTAAAGCTGGGTATTTTAAGTTTGGCTGTTAACTCTTCAATATATGAAGTTATTTTTATGAAATTCTTTGCCATTTTTGGTTTGCTGAAAAATGCATTATATGAAGTATATATAAAAGGAAATGCATTTTTTGAAATTATAAACTGTATATATTAGAAAAAATAAAAGCATTTAGATACAGCTTTTGATTCACTGTTTTAAGTAATCATTTGTTAATGGTGATGAAATAACAGGACAGTTATAAGCATCTCTGAAATCCAGATGATCCAGGGTTCAAGTTGAATGTTAAACCCTTTAGCATTCTATTTTCTAATTGATAAAATAAACTAATCTCAATTTAACCCTCTCGGAAAAGGTTTTGAAAAGCAATTAAAAAGGAGGAAGGTGGTAAACAATGTAGTTTATCACATACCTACCCACATTTTATTTAACTTTGCCCAACAGAACTATAGCTGTGAAAACAGAGCATTGAGAGTTTAACCTTAGGGATCCCTATGTTCAGTAGTTCAAGTAAACGCGTTTATGTTTTTCTATAGGGACTTAAAATTGTTATTTTGCCTTCTGTACTTATATCTGGTTTTAAGGTAGAATGCATCTTATTTTTTAAAACAGGAATGAATAAAGAACTGAAGACACAGTGTTCAAGACACAATGATTTCTACTGAAAATTCTAGATAGCCTATTGGAATAATTATGATTTACAATTTTTTTCCTTTTTTTTTTTTTTTGGTACCGGGGATCGAACTCGGGACTTTGTGCTTGCAAGGCAGGCGGCAGAACCACTGAGCTAAATCCTCTGCCCATGGTTTACAGTTATTAACAAGTATTTTGTTAAGTTAGTGCTAGATGTATCATTATAATTACCACATAATGGAATATCACAAATGTGCTTTTCCCAAGATAACTGATATTAATAATGATTTTAAATTTTTATTACAGTTAGAACGAGTAAATCTGTCTGCAGCTCAGACACTGAGAGCCGCTTTCATTAAGGTGAGGTACAAATAATTTATTATAATTATCATGTACATAATCTATAAATTTTAAGTACCATGTGATAGTTGCCAGTTCATTTTCTTTTAGTGATAAATGTTTTAAACATCTTATACCTGTTTCCAGTACACTCTGAAAAGTTTAAAACACTTCTAAAAGGTGAACTGTAACAAATATTGTTTCCTCAGTCTTCATCTTAAACCTCCTAACATACAAGCTGATGATTTAACACTGAAGCACAGTTATATGACTGTAGTAAATCAGTTTTGATCTATGGATGAATTTTGTTATCCAGTTGCTGGCTTTTGCATTTTATTTATTTATTTTTTCTATTTTTGAGACAATCCTTGCTATGCTGTGCTAGCTGACTTGAATTCATGGCATGGAGCAGTTCTTTTGCCTCAGCCTCCCAAAGAGCTGAAACTACAGGTGCATGCTAACAGCTGTAATTCATAGTATTGATTCTTAATTGAGATTAGTGATTATTTTGGAGAAACATAAATTAGCCAATTTTTCATTATTTTTAATTATCACATTTAATTTATTAAATTTCAAATGCTATGTAGGACAGCATGTGTCAAAATGATGAAGATTTTTTAAACTGATTTGAAAAAGCTGAAAACCTTTCCTTGCCAGTCTTTTATATCCATATTTCCAGTTATTGGTTCACAGTAATGACTTTTTTTTTTAATCAAGCTTTACTATCTGTTTTTATTTGGAGAAAACAAGGATTAAAATAGTTTTTCCCAGAATAAAAAGATGCCATTCAGTATTACCTTAAAAGATGATGTTCTGCTTGATTTCCAGTTACCTTTGTTCCCCTTTGAACTGTCTGATGCGCTGCTGGGTCTGCCAGGTTGAGAGTCACTGATCCACCAGAGTGTATGTTTTTACCCTTTTGGATATTTTTCTGTGACACTGGTTTCTTTATAAAGATTGAACACCCAGAGTTCAAGGTTGGGAAAATCTGAAAATGTAGTCTCTGATTTAAATTCAGTTCTATTTGTCTGTCAGAGCCATTGGATAAATTGTAAGTTTTTAAAATTAGAAGCAAGTAGTTTAAACAAGACTTTGCCAGAAGACATTGAGAGTATCCACAAACAATGTTCTCAGGCAGCCTGGGGCCCAAAAGTTAAGTCAGAGGGGTTCCATGAAATTTTTTTTTTTGAAGGTTAACAATGATATTCAACATCTATTTGAAACTGCATGAACTAATATCTTAAAGTAGTGTGCAGTTTCAACATACTAGATTTGTCTGCATTCCTCTAAATGATGTCATATCTATGTGAAACCAGATCTTTGGTGGCCACTGTGATAAAAAGCAAGTACTACCAGAAAACAGTTTCCAGGAGGAAATGAGCCTGGCAAGTCCAATCTAAATCCAGTATTTGAGAAATTGTGCAGTGCCCAGTAGGTACAAATATCCCATTATTAAGTAGCATAGTTCAGAATGAAATAAAATATTTTGCGTTGATTTGTATGTGTATCACCTTTTTAAACTCAGTTGTTAAGGAAAATGTACTTAAGTTATTTGGATCTAGCTATTTAATAGCACTATTAGATGTTTATTTTGGCACTACAGCATACTGTGAACTGAGAGGTTAGGGACCTCGGTGAGACTTTTATAAACTTTCAGTTTTGGCATTTTAGGGCCCTGGACCAACTTGGTGTTGAAAAGTTGTGTGCAGACTTACAGCATTTAACTATTTTAGCAGCTTAATATAATTCGCAGAGATGCTTTTCTGCTGGTATTCTGTGCAAGCATATAGAGAATGCTTCCCTGCTGAGCCCAACATAACTCATTATGTAGGTAGATTTAATGCTTGAGAAAATAAACCTCTGTTACCAAATACTACATTAAGTGTAACTATTTGGCAGTTTACCAAATTAATACTATAACAGCATATCTTAAGCTGTATTTGGACAACTTATAAAGGCAACTCTTTTTGTCTGGTTGGTTGGGGTTTTTTTGTTGTTTTGGGTTTTTTTGTATTTTTTTTTAAAGGCAACTTTTTAAAAATAAATTTTATCTTAAATATATCCATGAAAAGAAAAAAAACAAAATAGGTTATTAAGAAACTAAACTCAATTGGATATACCTTATTGTCTTTAATCCTCCGTAAAAATAATTTATTGGAATAGCAGTTGAACAGCAGTTAAAATAATCCCCAAATTGAAATAAATATATATATTTTCTTTTCCCATTTCATTCCACAACCTTTCAGTTTTTGATACCTGAGATCTAATAAAAGCATGTTAAAATGGAAAGAGCAGTAGGAAAAGAAAGCTGTAACTGCAGTGATACAGAGTGGGATTGAAGAGTGGGAAGCTGCCTGTGCTTGACACTTTGGAAGCAAAAAGAGTGCCATCTGGGGCGGGGGGTTTAGCTCAGTGGTTCTACCGCCTGCCTCGCAAGAACAAGGTCCCAAGTTCGATCCCTGGTACCAAAAAAAAAAAGAGTGTCATCTGAGTAGGATCATAAATTGTATTTCTACTTGCTGTTTAATATTAGGGCAAAAAATAAAGGAAGTCATCAGCATACAGATTTAAATTGGCAGGCATCCAAAAGAAAACAAACCTTGAGTATGTTTTGGTTTTGTGCATGTATATAGTACTAGGGATTGACTCAGGGTCTTTGAACTGACTGAGCTTTATCTAACATTTTTAAAAAGTTTTTTACATTTTATTTTGAGGCAGGGTCTCACAAGTTGCCAAGTTACCCAGGCTGATCTCAAACTATTTTTTATTTTCTTGGCATTTTGTTAATTTAAATGCAAAGAACCTGCAAATGCTGGTAAGATGAGATACTGCTTCATCCACAAGGTGAAATATTAGATAAGCTAAAAATTCTCAATGTATGTAAACCAATGAGAACAGTAATTGATTGATTACCAAAATACATGTAATCTTTATTTCTTTGTTGTTAGTTTGATTCCAAGAGAATATAATGGGTAAGAAGTATGAAATACTTGTTCAAATTGGAACTTGTTCAGTTGGAAAATTGGACCATGGATATATTAAAAAGTTACTGTTGCGCAAGTTTCAACAAACATAAGTGAAATGCCTTATGCCATTGCTATAACAAAGGTACCTGCCCATATCACTGGTCTGTCTGAGGCATTCCTAACGAGTTCTCAACAAATAAGCTTTGGCTTTTAAATGCTGGTTCTTTTACTGTATTTCAAAACTGCCATTCTTTTTCTTATAGGCTGAAAAAGAAAATCCAGGTCTCACACAAGACATCATTATGAAAATTTTAGAGAAAAAAAGTGTAGAAGTTAACTTCACAGAGTCTCTTCTTCGTATGGCAGCTGATGATGTAGAAGGTATTATCAGAAAGAGAGCCTTATTTAGTTTGATAATTGTTGGGCAGCACTTGCTTCAAACCATAAGTTGACAAAAAGGTCTTCTTTCTCTCCCTTTCTATACTCGCTCTTCATTTTTCTTATTGTGATGATAGTGGAAACAGTCTGTGTAAGATAGAAAGATAGTTCTTGATCTTTATTTTATATAGTATTTGTTAGATGTGATTTTGTCATGTATTTGTTAATACTGCATGCTTTAATTTATCCCTATTAATGACAAGTTTGGAAAGTTTTGGTTTCACTAAAAGTTAAGCTCCATGGAATGTTTATTTTATTTTGTGACATGTTTGAAAGTTGTGAACATTTTGGTTTTTAACTGCAATACAGTATTTTTCTTTTCTAGCACAGACTTAGAAGAGAAATATAGCAGCCATTCTTTTGTCACCTTTCTCATTTGTTTGTTTTTTAAAAAAAAGTTAGAAATGGGATTCATTTAAAACCAGTAGTCATTTTCCCATATAAAATTTCTCATATTAAGGGGGACAAAATGTAGGTATTTTATCTGATTTCATGAGTTATCAGTCTTGGAAGAAAGCCCTCATTATTTTTTTAGATTTCAGTGCTTGCAGTCTGTTAGGCCATAGTATATTGAGTTGGTAAAGTTGTAGTTCTTCCAAATGTACATTAAACCTGGTGGTAAGCTCATTTTGTTTCTGCCAAGTCTGATTTAACTCCTTTCCAAAACAAAAAAGAGATTCTACTGTTCTGTGATCTTATGTTGGATTTGAAAATTTTAGTAGGTTGTTTGGAGATTTTGATATAATGAACTACAATTATATTCATTGTAGGGGCTTTAAATTATTAAATGAATAAGATTTTATAGTATTTCAGTTTCCAAATTGAAAATGTTTGACTTGTATACTATTTTACTTAGAGAGAACACTGATGTTACTACAGGGCTAAATTGAACTCCAAGTAATTCCTTTTTGAGACCTTGTCTTTTCTAATTATCTAGCTTTTTTCCTCTCATACCACCACTGACCAGCATTGGAAATTCTTAGACTTAAATTTGTCAGGGAATTACGTGATGTGTTTTATTATGTGTTTGTTTTATCAGAGTATATGATTGAACGACCAGAGCCAGAATTCCAGGACCTAAATGAAAAGGCAAGAGCACTTAAACAAATTCTCAGTAAGATCCCAGATGAGATCAATGACAGAGTGAGGTTTCTGCAGACAATCAAGTAAGTGATGTTTTGTTTTAGTTTTTTTCTAAAAAGTACTTCCAAAGAAACCCATTTGTTATAGATGTTTTTATTTTGATATATTAATATTAGATTGAAATAAAACTTGAAATCTTTAAATGCTGCATTTTTATTAATTTCTAAGCTATATCTTTACAGTATAATATTGTTTAGAATGTTTAAAAATAACAATGAAATGTACATAAACAGGAATTTAATATGAGCTACATGACTTTTGGAAAAGTGTCAGATTCAACGGAATAGAGAAATTAGATAAAAATCATAGAGAATGGTAACAAGAGGTAACAAAATTTTTATTAATTTTATTGTTTCATTGCATAAGTTATTAGGATAAGTAATGCACTCATACATATGAATAACATTTTCTAATACTGACCAGAGTCAACCTCCAAATCCTTGGTTTTGAGATACAAGTATGTAAGACTCAGAATATACAAGGGGCTGGGCACAGTGATTCTCAGAAGTGCAGACATGGGCAGAGAAATGTGGGGGAGACACATGCTTGGTCTCTGGATATATGTATCTTTAATGAATGTCACCATTCTCAAAGTTGTTTATTTCTACTTTTCCAGTAATTTAATTTTTTAAATTTGTCTTATTAATTGTATATTTGTTGCTAAGCCATGCTGCATTTCTGTGGAAATCTGACATTTAAAATAATATTTTCAGATTTTTTTTCATATCATTGAAAGAGAAGTTTACAAAATAAATGTCATGTAAATAATTGCAATCACAGATAGACCCTGGTAAATTCTAAGCACTGTATTAAGCAATTTACATATGTTAACTTACTGGATCAACTCGAACAAATGGAGAAATTGAGGTACCCGTCATAATATTGCCAAGGTTACAGAGAAATTTGAACACCAGCACTCTGATGGAGAGTCTTCCCACTGCTTTCCATGGATTCTTAATGTTTTTCTAATCTTGTGATTGAAAAATTTCCACTATTTGAGAGAAGCATGTTATGTAGGACATCTTATGTAGAATACCAGTATGTAAGAGACATAACAGGATTTATGATTGAAGCTGGGGTAGAAGTTAGGCCCAGAGCCTTCTTCCTGTTACTTTAACACCTTTTTCCTCCAGGGAGAGTCCCTGAGGCATCTCTGCTAAACCCTATTATTCCAGAGAGATATAACTTGAAAACCACATTATTAACACTGACATTCTTAACTTTAAAGATTAAGGATCTTGTCCATTGTCGTTGATAGAGGCTGTATTAGGGCTTTGCTTCCTTCTTCAGGAGGAATAATAAGTAATACTTCCCTTCTGCTTTCTGTAGGGTACTTAGCACAAATGAATGAAGAGTAATGGCAAGGGAAATTTGTTTGCAGTGGAAATGTATTTCCTAACTTTAATGTATGTTACTTCTGAGACTAAAACTCAACCATGTATGAATAGCTTGGATGGCTAAGGTATAATTTGTATCACTGTGATATATACTGGGTACATTTTGATAAATGTTACCACTGTTAATTGTTTCTCAAATGAGTAGATAAAATTGCACCAAAGTAGAAAAATGCCTCGTCCTTCCGATATGACATGTTGGTACTATTTTTCTTTAAAAATCCTCTTTCATATTTTAATTATCTTCCAATAATAAAATTAATTTCATGTGTCATATCTCAGAAACCTACTACACCAAGCATTAAAGGTGATGCTATAGGTTGTATTATTAGGATCACATTCACCTGAGTTTATTTAAGGTCAATAGTTTTCATGATGGTTTAGGAATGGCTTTACCAGTATTGTCTACTTTAGACCAAACAAAACATACACTATAGAGATTTCCTCCTGTAGATTATGTTTTATATATATATAAACATATATAATCATACAGAATTGTGTGACATGATTAGTAGTTCTAATTTTCCACAAAGTTTTTTGATGTCTCTTTACTTTTTATCTGATGCCTGTTGACTTTCAGTGTGTGTTTTCCAAAAGTCCCCCTACAAAATTAACTGCAAACTGCTCAATTCCTTCTTATTCCACTCATATTACCTGTCCCTTATCTCAGAATCATCTACTCCATTTGCATAATTACAGGATGCTTATTTTATCCCCTTTATTTGTTTGTTTCAAGTCTTTATTCATTTTTTGTTTTTGTTTTTGCTGGTATTTTCTCTTATAGGAAATAAACTCTCAGGTAATTACTAATAAGCTTCCCTAGTGCAAACCGTAGTGCTATAAATGAAAATGCTTTTCTATGTACAGTGGATAACAGAATTTGTATAAATATTTCAGATTGTTCTTACAGCACATTTTTTAACAGTTTGGTAGAAAAAGCTTATCTGTGTACAGTGGATAACAGAATTTGTATAAATATTTCAGATTGTTCTTACAGCACATTTTTTAACAGTTTGGTAGAAAAAGCTTATCTGTGTACAGTGGATAACAGAATTTGTAACTGCCATTCTTTTTCTTATAGGCTGAAAAAGAAAATCCAGGTCTCACACAAGACATCATTATGAAAATTTTAGAGAAAAAAAGTGTAGAAGTTAACTTCACAGAGTCTCTTCTTCGTATGGCAGCTGATGATGTAGAAGGTATTATCAGAAAGAGAGCCTTATTTAGTTTGATAATTGTTGGGCAGCACTTGCTTCAAACCATAAGTTGACAAAAAGGTCTTCTTTCTCTCCCTTTCTATACTCGCTCTTCATTTTTCTTATTGTGATGATAGTGGAAACAGTCTGTGTAAGATAGAAAGATAGTTCTTGATCTTTATTTTATATAGTATTTGTTAGATGTGATTTTGTCATGTATTTGTTAATACTGCATGCTTTAATTTATCCCTATTAATGACAAGTTTGGAAAGTTTTGGTTTCACTAAAAGTTAAGCTCCATGGAATGTTTATTTTATTTTGTGACATGTTTGAAAGTTGTGAACATTTTGGTTTTTAACTGCAATACAGTATTTTTCTTTTCTAGCACAGACTTAGAAGAGAAATATAGCAGCCATTCTTTTGTCACCTTTCTCATTTGTTTGTTTTTTAAAAAAAAGTTAGAAATGGGATTCATTTAAAACCAGTAGTCATTTTCCCATATAAAATTTCTCATATTAAGGGGGACAAAATGTAGGTATTTTATCTGATTTCATGAGTTATCAGTCTTGGAAGAAAGCCCTCATTATTTTTTTAGATTTCAGTGCTTGCAGTCTGTTAGGCCATAGTATATTGAGTTGGTAAAGTTGTAGTTCTTCCAAATGTACATTAAACCTGGTGGTAAGCTCATTTTGTTTCTGCCAAGTCTGATTTAACTCCTTTCCAAAACAAAAAAGAGATTCTACTGTTCTGTGATCTTATGTTGGATTTGAAAATTTTAGTAGGTTGTTTGGAGATTTTGATATAATGAACTACAATTATATTCATTGTAGGGGCTTTAAATTATTAAATGAATAAGATTTTATAGTATTTCAGTTTCCAAATTGAAAATGTTTGACTTGTATACTATTTTACTTAGAGAGAACACTGATGTTACTACAGGGCTAAATTGAACTCCAAGTAATTCCTTTTTGAGACCTTGTCTTTTCTAATTATCTAGCTTTTTTCCTCTCATACCACCACTGACCAGCATTGGAAATTCTTAGACTTAAATTTGTCAGGGAATTACGTGATGTGTTTTATTATGTGTTTGTTTTATCAGAGTATATGATTGAACGACCAGAGCCAGAATTCCAGGACCTAAATGAAAAGGCAAGAGCACTTAAACAAATTCTCAGTAAGATCCCAGATGAGATCAATGACAGAGTGAGGTTTCTGCAGACAATCAAGTAAGTGATGTTTTGTTTTAGTTTTTTTCTAAAAAGTACTTCCAAAGAAACCCATTTGTTATAGATGTTTTTATTTTGATATATTAATATTAGATTGAAATAAAACTTGAAATCTTTAAATGCTGCATTTTTATTAATTTCTAAGCTATATCTTTACAGTATAATATTGTTTAGAATGTTTAAAAATAACAATGAAATGTACATAAACAGGAATTTAATATGAGCTACATGACTTTTGGAAAAGTGTCAGATTCAACGGAATAGAGAAATTAGATAAAAATCATAGAGAATGGTAACAAGAGGTAACAAAATTTTTATTAATTTTATTGTTTCATTGCATAAGTTATTAGGATAAGTAATGCACTCATACATATGAATAACATTTTCTAATACTGACCAGAGTCAACCTCCAAATCCTTGGTTTTGAGATACAAGTATGTAAGACTCAGAATATACAAGGGGCTGGGCACAGTGATTCTCAGAAGTGCAGACATGGGCAGAGAAATGTGGGGGAGACACATGCTTGGTCTCTGGATATATGTATCTTTAATGAATGTCACCATTCTCAAAGTTGTTTATTTCTACTTTTCCAGTAATTTAATTTTTTAAATTTGTCTTATTAATTGTATATTTGTTGCTAAGCCATGCTGCATTTCTGTGGAAATCTGACATTTAAAATAATATTTTCAGATTTTTTTTCATATCATTGAAAGAGAAGTTTACAAAATAAATGTCATGTAAATAATTGCAATCACAGATAGACCCTGGTAAATTCTAAGCACTGTATTAAGCAATTTACATATGTTAACTTACTGGATCAACTCGAACAAATGGAGAAATTGAGGTACCCGTCATAATATTGCCAAGGTTACAGAGAAATTTGAACACCAGCACTCTGATGGAGCGTCTTCCCACTGCTTTCCATGGATTCTTAATGTTTTTCTAATCTTGTGATTGAAAAATTTCCACTATTTGAGAGAAGCATGTTATGTAGGACATCTTATGTAGAATACCAGTATGTAAGAGACATAACAGGATTTATGATTGAAGCTGGGGTAGAAGTTAGGCCCAGAGCCTTCTTCCTGTTACTTTAACACCTTTTTCCTCCAGGGAGAGTCCCTGAGGCATCTCTGCTAAACCCTATTATTCCAGAGAGATATAACTTGAAAACCACATTATTAACACTGACATTCTTAACTTTAAAGATTAAGGATCTTGTCCATTGTCGTTGATAGAGGCTGTATTAGGGCTTTGCTTCCTTCTTCAGGAGGAATAATAAGTAATACTTCCCTTCTGCTTTCTGTAGGGTACTTAGCACAAATGAATGAAGAGTAATGGCAAGGGAAATTTGTTTGCAGTGGAAATGTATTTCCTAACTTTAATGTATGTTACTTCTGAGACTAAAACTCAACCATGTATGAATAGCTTGGATGGCTAAGGTATAATTTGTATCACTGTGATATATACTGGGTACATTTTGATAAATGTTACCACTGTTAATTGTTTCTCAAATGAGTAGATAAAATTGCACCAAAGTAGAAAAATGCCTCGTCCTTCCGATATGACATGTTGGTACTATTTTTCTTTAAAAATCCTCTTTCATATTTTAATTATCTTCCAATAATAAAATTAATTTCATGTGTCATATCTCAGAAACCTACTACACCAAGCATTAAAGGTGATGCTATAGGTTGTATTATTAGGATCACATTCACCTGAGTTTATTTAAGGTCAATAGTTTTCATGATGGTTTAGGAATGGCTTTACCAGTATTGTCTACTTTAGACCAAACAAAACATACACTATAGAGATTTCCTCCTGTAGATTATGTTTTATATATATATAAACATATATAATCATACAGAATTGTGTGACATGATTAGTAGTTCTAATTTTCCACAAAGTTTTTTGATGTCTCTTTACTTTTTATCTGATGCCTGTTGACTTTCAGTGTGTGTTTTCCAAAAGTCCCCCTACAAAATTAACTGCAAACTGCTCAATTCCTTCTTATTCCACTCATATTACCTGTCCCTTATCTCAGAATCATCTACTCCATTTGCATAATTACAGGATGCTTATTTTATCCCCTTTATTTGTTTGTTTCAAGTCTTTATTCATTTTTTGTTTTTGTTTTTGCTGGTATTTTCTCTTATAGGAAATAAACTCTCAGGTAATTACTAATAAGCTTCCCTAGTGCAAACCGTAGTGCTATAAATGAAAATGCTTTTCTATGTACAGTGGATAACAGAATTTGTATAAATATTTCAGATTGTTCTTACAGCACATTTTTTAACAGTTTGGTAGAAAAAGCTTATCTGTGTACAGTGGATAACAGAATTTGTACAAATATTTCAGATTGTTCTTACAGCACATTTTTTAACAGTTTGGTAGGTAATTCTAGCCTAAAGTCCAAACAGAAGGCCAGGATTAGGTATGGAGAGGCTTGGTCAGTGGAGTTCTTTATAAAATCTCTGATCTGATAAGGGATCAAATCTTAGCTCCTGGTTTTCAAATAACAGTAGTGGTTTTCACATGTGGCTCATCAGCACAATCACTTGGGAAGGTTTCTTTCTTGTTTTTTTGGTTTCTTCCCTCCCCTCTTAAAAATTACAGACAGATTCCCAATTATTAGGAGCAAATCGAGTAGGATCTAGCAAGTTCTCTTCGCCCTTCCCTTTGTTTTCCTCCCTCAATGAGTTAAGCAACTGATTTCAGAACTGCTTTTTTTGATCTGTAGAATCCAGCTTTTATCATTCCAGATAGGTAGATAGATAGCATAATCATCTTGTTGATTACCCCCTCAAAGCACATTTTTATAATCCCTTCCCCTTTTTTTGCAAAATGTTAACTACAGTGTTAGACTGTATGTAAATACCTGTGTGATCAGTGTGTAATATGCTCCGTTCTATTCCATTTTAGATAGCTCCATTCTGTGTTTGGTGAACCTCTTATATTCATAGATAAAACATAAATTTTTAATTGTAGTTTCTATCAGACCATTTTATTAGTGATGGATTTATGTTCATAACAGCAGTACATGAGAATTTACTTAAAAATGAAAGGAGCAGTTATGTAACTCAATACTGCTATTGCTAAAGTGGAAGCAAAAAATAAACGAACAGGTGGCATTTCCATGTAAAATTCATTGTCCTACTTGAATAGATACTGTTTTGCTATTTCAGCCTAATACCAATTTTTTCTCGTACAGGAGGTAAATGAGGTAAATAAGTAAGTACTTAACAAAATGTTATTTCTACTTTAGACTAAAATACTTTTGTTTACAATAATTTGAAAATCCTATAGGCCTGCCTGTAATTCTTTCAGTTTGCACATGCTTATTTACTGAAAACCATGCTGGTAAATACAGGAACCTGGATACTGAACTTTTTTATTGTTGTTGTTTGTTTGTTTCCTTTTTCTCTAAAGATTAAAACTGAAATGTTCAGGTATGAAATAACTTAAGTTTGACATTTGCCATTAAAAAAACAGCAATGAAGGCTTATGTTTCAGATCCTGTAGATTTAAGTTTGTTGATTTATATATTCATTTTTGTGTTATACTTGAACAGCAGAAGTTTTTATAATGACTGAATTAAAACAAGATCTTCTTTAGAGAATGGAAGACTGTTCAAGAATGAGAATTACATAAAGTTTAGTTGGACAGGAACAAAAATGCTACGAAGTTAGAATGGGAATTTGAGAAGAGCATTGATAAGTAAGACAAGAATTGTTAAAAAGACAAGAATAGTTTAAAATGCACCAGTGTGTGGATAGGAAGGATAATCAATTCAAATGAAAATTATTGATTTATTCTGTCTTTTTAGAAAGGAGAAGGTGTTGATGCGTATATAGTTAAAGAATGATTGCTGCAAAGGCTAAGGTAGAAGAACGTTCAGATATTGTCTCTCCTGACACTTTAAATATATTTTGCAAAGGAAATAGCAAAGGTTTTAAGGAAGTAGATACTCAGTTGCTAGATAGAAAGTAATGTGTCTAAGAGAAAGGGGGAGGAATATTTCCTCACATCTCTGGAGGAAATATTTCAAGCTTCAAAACTGATAGGTATATAGCATCAGTTAATGCAGAAATGAGTTACATGTAATGTAAAATTTTGTAATACTGTTCATGAAATAACCAAAGTGGAGAATATGGTAGCTTGAATTCATTAAGTAACGCTCAATGAAGGGCTGTTTATTTAGGAAAGTTGGTGTTAATTGGGAATATTCAGTCAACAGTGCAAGAGAATTGGATTACAGAATTGTACAGGCTACAACTCCCACTCCCACCAGCTAACCAAATATGTTGGCTCTTGGCAAAGTGTACATGTGGTGAGCAAGAGCATACTGTGATTAATAATTCTACGAACTTACACATATGCACACACTTCTTTTAAATGTAGCTGATTTTAAAGGTTCTTTCTTTCCTTTCCTAATAGGGATATAGCTAGTGCAATAAAAGAACTTCTTGATACAGTGAATAATGTCTTCAAGAAATACCAATACCAGAATCGCAGGGTAAGTTTTGTAGAAACTTTGCTTGTTGCTACCCTAAATATTGGTTCCCATTTAGTTGTTGTATTGAATTAAACATGAACAGTTTGATTATTGGAAATTATGTCATTAACCATTCAGTTTATCCTTGAATTTTAATATGGTGTTACATGTGTTTAAGGTAAATACTTTTAAAAATACTTATTTATAATATAAAGTCTTTCCTCTGACCTTCAGTTTTTGACTATTTCTTGTATTTAGTATTTTTCTTACTTTTCATAACTATAGGCACTTGAACACCAAAAGAAAGAATTTGTAAAGTACTCCAAAAGTTTCAGTGATACTCTGAAAACGTATTTTAAAGATGGCAAGTAAGTGCTATACCTTATCCTTTTCTTTGAAAATTTAATATATTCTGTGGTTTTATACAATATTAAAGCCATTGAAATTAAGCCCTTTTACTATATTGCTAACACTCAAGGCACCTGGTAACAAATGTGCACTGTGAGAAAATGAGTGGCTATTAATTCCAGCCATAACTCTAGTCTAGTGCAACTACCGTCAGACTTTCTGAAAAGCGACAGGTAGTGTATATTTCTGATTTAGAGGCAACTGCTGTGGCAACTCTGTACTGTATCTCATGTAGCACAAAAGCAGCTATAGACAGTATGGAAACTAGTGGATACACCTGTGTTCTAATAAAAGTTTATAGATACTGAAATTGAACTGTATATAATTTACATCTATCACATAATACCGTATCAATTTAAAAAAAATTTACAAATGTAACAGCATTCTTAACTTCCCGACCTACTTTACCAAACCATGAAGCAGTAGTTCTCAAACTTGAGTAGCATCTGATTCAGTAGATCTAGTGTGGTACCTAAGAATTTGCATTTCTAAACGTTCTCCTGGCAATACTGAAGCTGTGCAAGTCTGTTGAGAACTAGTGCACTAGAATTGAAACAGTACTTCTCAATCCTGTCTGCATGTTAGACTCACTTGTGGTCAGTGTTTAAAAATTGCTAAGGCTCCACTTAGCAATTAGAGATTCTGATTCATTTGTCCTGAAATGAGACCAGGATCAGAAGGTTTATACAGTTGACTTTAAAGGGCTGCAAGGATTGTGATCCATGGAGGGTTAAATTGGCTTTCATAGCATCATTCTATTTAAATAAGAGTATACTAAAAATGTAAATTGGACAGTATTAAGTTTAGATACTGTTAGTTGTAGAGCACTATAGAAAACCTGTCAGTTTTATGTGCTTTACATACATAATCAACAGAAACATTAAATTTAAACTGATGCAGAGGCCAGGACTTCTGCTATACTCTGTCATGTAGGTAGTTCTTTGTAGTTAAAGAAGAAGGCTTAGAAATTTTGTGGACAAGACTATTTTTCTAAAATTCAATTTCAGGATCTCTAATCCTTTATTAAAACATAGCTACCTCCACTGGTTCCCATGCTATGTACTGCTGCTTTTGCGCTACACCAGGTGTAAGAGGGGCAGTTGTCTCTAAATCTCTGCCTTTGATCAAACATTTTTATTACAGTTCAAAGATCCCTGTGTGTGTGTGTATATGTGTGTGTGTGTCTATGTATGTGTATATATATATATATATATATATATAAAATCTCATTACAATGTTTCCAAATACTAGTACATTAGAATTCTAATTTTCAGTCAGTTTTAGCAATAACAGTTCAAACTGATTGAAATGTTTATATTATGAATTAGATGATTGAGCTATATTATATTCTGTATCACTATGAATCTTGATGACTTAGTTTAATAAGTTAGCATTTATCTGAAAGTAAATGTTATCTGTTTTTCTTTAGTCTTCTCTGCTGAGCCCCAATAGCAAAGAACATAAATAATTTACATGATGGCATCATTATTTCTGATTCTAATTAATTAAAAACTATTGTACATAAGTGCATTGAATTTAGAGCCTACTTTTGAGTAATCTAAAATTACTTACTGTGCATCTGGATTAGTCACACTTACTATTTCTTTTTTTCCATTTACCAGCTTCTTTAAATTCCAGTTTTTATGTTTACAGAATATGCTATGAGTTTTGTACGTTTCCTGAAAATGAAAAATTACAAGCCTGATCTTTAAGCTCTCTTTAAGTAGGTAGATCAGTTTACATTGACCCATTTAATCTATCCCTGGTCCCTCTTTCCACGTCCAGGGTAAAAGTATAAGCTGCAGCTATGATATTAAAAAACTACTAAGGCCCCGCAGTGGGAGTAAGACATCTACTCCATGCTCTAGTCATATGAAGGTGGTGTGGGCCATTAGGAGACTCTGGTAGAGCAGAAAGCAGTTTTTAAAACATTTTTGTATATTGTCAGATGCCATGTATTGAAACTACAATATATGGAACTTTTATTTCAAAAAAATACTTTTTTCATTAAGTTTATTGGTACATTTTAGGTATACAATACTATTTCAAAAATATATTAATTGTAAAAGTAATTTAGAATTGTCACCCTTTTTTTGAAAGAAAGTAAGAGAGATTGGAAGGACCAGATTAAAGGTAACTTCTGTTTAAGTGTTTATTATGCTCATTGATATATAGATCTTGAGATTGAGTATAATACCTAGTTTGATTTTGTTGGTTTTGTGAAACCACAGCTGGAGATCACATCTGAATCCTCCCTTTAGCTAGTTATTTGCTTGACCTGTAAATGAACTCTGGTTGTTTGAGGTCCCACTTGGCACCCCTCCGACTCCTTATTGTTAGCCAGAACCACCAGGGGGCAGTAATTCCTATACTGCTGTTTGAAATGCTGCAAGACCGTTAAATCCCAAACTGGAATGAAAATTGTAATACTACTCAGTGCTAACTGTTTTTCCTAAATTGATTTCATTGCTATTATTGATATTTGAAATAAAGTAAAATATTTTAAGAGTGAATTTTTTTGAATGAAAGTAATGCTTTTTTTTTCTTCTTTTAAACAGGGCAATAAATGTGTTCATAAGTGCCAACCGACTAATTCATCAAACCAACTTGATACTTCAGACCTTCAAAACTGTGGCCTGAAAGTTGTATATGTTAAAAGATGTACTTCTCAGTGGCAGTATTAAACTGCCTTTTTCTGTAAATTTTAAAGTTTGACTGTATAAATTATCAGTCCCTCCTGAAGGGATCTAATCCAGGATGTTGAATGGGATTATTGCCATCTTACACCATATTTTTGTAAAATGTAGCTTAATCATAATCTCACACTGAAGATTTTGCATCACTTTTGCTATTATCATTCTTTTAAGAATTATAAGCCAAAAGAATTTACGCCTTAATGTGTCATTATATAACATTTCTTAAAAGAATTGTAAATATTGGTGTTTGTTTCTGACATTTTAACTTGAAAGCGATATGCTGCAAGATAATGTATTTAACAATATTTGGTGGCAAATATTCAATAAATAGTTTACATCTGTTAAACATTTCTTTACTTGAAAAAGATGCATATATATATGTGTGTGTATATATATATATGATCAGAAGACCAAGACAACTTGGTATAATGTCTAAAGAACTTCTAATGGGAGCTTATTAGCAATTTATCAAATAATAAAGCAACAAGAATTTCTATTTTTTGTCCTTAATCACTTTGGAGAAAAAGTAGTCAATGAAAATATTTTTGTTAGTTATTACATAAAAGGTACTGAATATTTTTCCATTACTTCTAGTCTATTTTAAAAGACTTCTGAGAAAGAGATGGCAATTCATAGTATCTTCCCACTATAATGCCACTTTTTGAACTATGTGACATTATAGATTTTACTCTTAAGAAATTATTCTGGTATACTGAGCCCTAATATGCTTTGCACATTTTCCCCCCAAATAGCCACAATTAATAGTAATTTAAAGCTATACCAATAGTTGGTTTGAAATTGTCATGAGTGTTAATATTATATACACTCTTTCAATATGTATAATTTTGTTTCACGATAGAGAAGTTTTAAGGAAATTATGTATCAAGTATTCATGTGAAGTGGTTTCATTTTTGAATTATAAAATAAAGGAAAAAATCAGAATTTGTTATCTTTTATAAAGATTTTAAATATTAAACTAAATTTCTCTTAATGTGTAATGTACCATAATGCAGTTTAGTTTTTTCTCCATTTTTCCTAATGAACGTTTAAAGAATTACTATAAAAGTTAAATGATCTTGTTGACTGTAGATAAGAAATATGTGGAAAGAAACAACAATCCAAAAGATAATTGGTTCGTAGCTGATGAACGTTTTACTTTATTTTTCTTCAAGGACATATGGGCAGTAAAATATAAAATTGGTCATCTTTACCATTATTTTTGTTTTGTTTTTTGTTTGTTTTTGTTTTTGTTTTGTTTTTGGCACGGGGAATCGAACTTGGGACCTTGTACTTGTGAGGCAGGCGCGGAACCACTGAGCCAAATCCCAGGCCCTACCATTATTTTTTATATAAACTGTCATTCACTCTTGGACAGGAATGCGTGATAATTTGCAGAATAGGTGTGAGTATATGAAGAAAGAAGAGAGTGTTTTATTTGGAGCAGGCTTTTCTAACATAAACCAAATCCACCTTCCTCTTTTCTTTATTTTTACTCTCCTCAGCAGAACTTGCCCATTACCAGGTAGCCTGAACTCACTTTTTTTGGAAACCTGCTTGCTCTTTTCATTCTATTTATTATCACTCATTTCTGTTTTCATGAAATACCCCTCCAGAAAAGAAGCATATTCTCAGAGTCTTTCATTTACTTTCGTAATTCTAGAAAAGCTAAGTTTGTTCAGTAAGGAAGGAACCAGTGTGACTCTAGTCATATCTCGAGAGAACACAAAGTTGACTTCAGAAGAATGGGAGACAAGGAGACGCATTTGTTGATTACCCTTTCTGTGTCACACACACTTCTAGATACATTTATTTAATTTATTTTCTTAAAAGTTCTGTGACAATTATTTACACAGCTGGTAACTGCTGGGGTTAGCTTGAATTCATTTGTCTCTGTCCTCTCCACTGTACTTTCTCTACTGCCAAAAATACACCATTTAGAATTCTATTTCCTGATTACCAAACTCCTTTATAGTTCACCAGAAAGGGAGAAAAATTAAGACGAATGTGATTTTTTCATAAAATGAATTTCTTTTAAGATTATTACTGTTTTCAGTGTTTAAAATGCCTCCTCCCCAATCCTTTGAAAGAAAACAATACATGATAATTGTGTGGTTTTGTTTAAATTATATAACCTTATTAGACAAAACGTGAGAGTGGCAAGCCAATAGGTCCTTTTTAATTTTTTCAACTTTCATATGGAAATAATTTCAAGTTTAGAGAAATTTTGCAGGAATGAAAGTAGTACAAAGAACATTCATATACTTTTTACCCATATTAACTGTTGTTAACTGTTTACTTTCTTACTTTTGTCATTTGCTTGTTTTCCCCAACTTAGGTCTCACCAACTCTGGATCATTTTTGTGGCCACTTTTGTCTTACATAGGATTAACATGTTTTAAAAGTACAACCATCTTTCTCTTCCCTCCCATTTTTTAATAGAATGTTCCTCAATTTGGGCTTCCTCATGATTAGATTCAAGTTACATATTCTTGGTTCAAATACTACACTGGTGGCTGTGTCCTCAAAAGTGTGACATCTAGGAGCATACAATATCCATTTTCTCACTGATAATTTTGGTCACCTGGTAATGATGGAGTTCTATTTTTCTAACATACAGTTACCATTTTTTACCTTCTAACTAATAAGCTGTCTCTGGGACTCCTAAGTCCCCAATAATAATCTTTCCTTCAGGATTAAAATCCACTCCTGATTCTTCAGTCTGTACTTTGACAGTAGCTATGTGGTGATTTCCCAATCCCAGCATTTCTTCCTCATGTACCAGTTGTCACTCAACATTCTACTCCAAGCAGGATCCCTCCTTTATCCCCCTCCATCCATCCATTTATCCATCTGTGTATCCTCTTAAATTTTATATATGGTGGGCTGGGGATTTAGCTCAGTGGTTTCGCCGCCTGCTGTGTAAGCGCAAGGACCCAAGTTCGATCCCCGGTACCAAAAAAAAAAGATTTATATATGGTATTGTTATAGACTCCTTGTTTCTTATATCCCTTTTCAGTGCTTTATACCTCATTAATGAACTTAGCACTCAAATTGTCATGGCAGTTTGGCAATAGATACTTCTTCAATCTGTGTGGAATCAGCAATTTCTTCAAAGAATCATAGTGTGTAGGGTATTGGATGCCTAGATCTGGATCCTAGGTGTTTTTATTGCTACTGTCTGCTTCTAGGCCATTCAGTAGACAACTGGGAAATGTCATGTATATACATACATTCACAGATGTGCATGTACAGACACATATTTTGTACATGCACATATTTTTGATGATTTAGCAATCACACCAACACCACCAAATCTGATTCAATCATCCTCACAGGGTTCTTCTTTGCCGTCTCCATTTTCTGTTTCAATATTTCTTCCTCAAATTCCTGGCTTCAATTTATTCAATTGCTCAATCCTATAATATATCAAAAACAGGTTTAGAATTGCTTTTGCCCTATCTATAAAAAAACAAGACTTACATGTGGTTTCCTCCCTTCCTGTATGCTGCCTGAAGCTGAGGGTACTTACTGCATTATGTTTTCATAAATTATTCTGATTCTTTAATTTTTACTTTGGTGTGGTATTTATTGAAATATAGTTGGGTTAATTTTTAAAGTGTGCCTACAGATTTAAGATCCTCCCCATAACCCCATAACATTCTTGTTTAGATATTTAAATTATGTAGCACCTTACATGTTTGTAGAAGTCAGAATTGTATCCAAAAAAGTAGAACTTTCATATACCCTTTCTGCCCCATTCTCTACCCATTGAAGGTATCAGTCTTCACAGTTCTTAGGGTGTTTCCCCTGTTTGAAGGAAAACAAGCCTGTGTTTTCCTTTTGCTTCTTCCATAGTACATATGTGGGATACCAACTATCTCAGTTTTCTCAAGAGGACTGAGACAAAACTTGCAGAGCTAAAACTGGGAAAATGAGGGAAACTGACATGGTTAGTCTCTGTATTAAATGGTCACTGTATCATTTTCTGTTGCTTACAATACTGCAGATTGGGTCAATTATGAACATGAGATTTTTGGCTCACAGTTTTTGTCCAAGGTTGAGGGGCTGCATCTGACTGGTGGCCTGCTTCCTGTCAAGGTCCCAAAGTAGTACAGTACCTCACATGACAGGAGACTTTGGAGTACATGCCTAGAAGTGGTGTATTGCTGGGTTGTATGGTAAAATTCTATGTAACTTTAAAAAACTGCCAGACTATACCATTACATCCTTGCCTGCAAGGTTAGAGTGTTCTCCATTTCCTCACAGCCTCATGGTTTGTTACTAACTTATTATAGATGTTGTTATAGAGATTCTAGTAAGTGTGAAATGGTTTTAATTTTCATTTTTTGATGACAGTGATATTAAAATCTTTGCATGCGCTTATCTACTTAATATACATGCTTTCATGCATTTTTCATTTTTCACTTAACATTTTCAGAAATCACTGTGTAAGTTAATAGAGACTGTTCTCGATGAGTTTTTAAAAATAATACTCCACAGTGCAACATAGTTTATCTGATCCATCAACTATACAAGAGTAGGTAGTATTTAATATATTGTAAACATACAAATACAGTGAATGACTACACAAGCATGTGCACACACACAGACACATTTGTTACAGGTGTATCTTCTGAATAGATTCCTAGAAGTGAGGTTACTGAATCTAAGGATATGAACATACATAATTTTACGGGATGTTACCAGTATTCTTTACATGAAGGTTATAGCATTTCACTTTCCATCAACAGTGTAAAAGGTCATTTCCTTACAGGTTTACTGACAATGAATCATAAAGCATTTTAATTTTTCCCAATGTGCTAGGTGAGAAATGGTATCTCATGGTAACTTTAATTTGTATTTTACTTTTTACAAGTGAAATTAATACTTATAAATTAGTATTTTTATTCTTTTATACTAGGAATTGAAATCAAGGCTTTTGCACTGAGCTATGTCTCAACCCTTTTTACTTTGAGACAGAGTCTCCTTCCATTGCTAATTTACCCAGGTTGGGCTTGAACTTGCCATCCTGCTTCAGTCTCCCATAATTCCGGGATTCTAGGCATGTGCCCTGAAAGAACAGTTTTGGTATCTATGACCTTGACTTACATTTATTTTTTTCTATTTTTTTTTTTTTTTTTGGTACCAGGGATCGATCGAACTTGGGTCCTTGTGCTTGCAAGGCAGGCGGCGGAACCACTGAGCTAAATCCCCAGCCAGAATTTTTGGGGTTTTGTTTTTGGTACCGGGGATTGAACTCGGGTCCTTACGCTTGTGTAGCAGGCAGTGAAACCACTGAGCTAAATCCCTGGCCCCCTCTATGCTTATTTTTATCAACTCGTGATTTTTATGAACCCTTAATGATTTTTTTTTTGTTGAGTAGTTCTTGATAACTTTATTTCTTCTATAAAAATTGATTTCTTTAACTTTCTTTTTCTACTATGCATGGGTCAGTTTGTTACATTAGTTTTTGTTTTGTTTTGTTTTTTCTTGGTA